TATCTACCAGCCACTAATGGAGCTGTTATAGCTAAAGGTTTCAGTGTAATAACAAGTGGCACTGGCACTATAAAAGCAGAGCTACAAGCAATAGCTTATGAATATAATAATAATACTGAAGTAAAATGTAGAGCTAGTACTGATGATCCTCCTGAAACTGTGTTCAGTAATACATCAATATTAATGATACAGGGTTAGTATTTTGTATACATTCATCATTGTTTCTTTTTCAGGCCTACTTGATAGTGTCTTTGATCTGGATCATACCTTTATTAATGGATCCAATGTATTATTAACATGGACAGCTCCTTATACACTAGATAATGTACCTATCACTGGATACTATATAGTCAATCGATCAGTGAACATTACTACTCCTAATAATAATACTAATATTACGTTATCAGCTACTAATCCTAATCCCTGTGTATTAAATAATGTATCAGTTTCTCCTATTAATGATGTTGGAATAGGTTTATCTAATGATATCAGTTTTTATTATGAAACAGGTTAGTCCTACTATGGCTTCATGTATATGTTCACAGTGTATCTTTCAGTTCCTCTCATTACTCCTCCTGTATCAGTGGTACCAGTAATTGATGGACAACAAATATCATTAAATATCACTATTAATGTAAGTATAACTCATAATAACACAATTATAAACGTATACAAGTAAAATTTAAAGCATGCATAGTAAAATGATTATTATTGTTTGTATAATAACAAATCACCTTAATTATTCCAACATACCATATTTCCTTGAATTCTATATGTGGGTACTATTAATTTCAAAAGTAAGATTACTGTGAGTACAATACAGGAGGAATAGTTTTCAAGCAAAAACTAATAACTTTAACTCCATTTCTTAGCAGCTACGCTAGCTTTCTACACCTAGCATGTGCATTAATACTACTGCACAGTGTGCATGCACTGATAATTTTAGGGTAAAAATTATTTCATTCAGTCTTCTTAATGGTGTAAATATAATTCAATGACAGATAGATTTTAAGGAAATATAGTACTCACAGTTTCACACACTCTCTCATAGGTCAGTACAATATGTAAAGGAGAGTATCCTAATAGTATAACAGTTAATATACTGAATACTAATAACACAGTAATAAATAATACCATTATACCAACACAAGTCAATGATCAACTGATGATTGTAACTGGAAGTACTGCAATGACTAATTTGATAAATACATTAACTATTAACGTATCATTGAGTAATAATGGAGGAACATTTAAAAGCATTTCATCAATTGGATTTAGTAAACATATAATTTTTATGTTTTATTATCTTCTTATGCCCATGTACTGCAGATTTTCTTGGACCAGTTACTAACATTGACTCTTCAATTGACAACTGTTCTATTATTGATATAACATGGACTGCACCTACAGTTGATGATAGAGTACCTATAAAGTATTACATACTAAGAATATATGATGCTATTACTAGTGGTCTAGTAAAAAATGTATCAGTATATGATACCAGATATCAGTTTGTGGCTGATAATTTACTTATTCATCGTTATACATATGTTATAACTGGAGTTAATGATTTAGGAGAAGGAATATCTAATATTGCTACATTCTCATATCAAAGAGGTACATATGCACATACTTCATTATGTTTATTACATTGTTATAGTACCTAGTCTAAGAGCTATACAAAATACATCACTTAATACACTCTCTTATATACAAGATGGGGTTATTATCCAGTTCTATATCCCAGTATGTTGTCAAAATATAATATTATTATCAATTATTATTGTTATGATAATCTTTATTATTGATTTATAGATTACACTAACGTGTACTGGCGAAGCTCCTGAACAAGTAACAGTTACTGCAATATGTAATGGAACTGATAGCAGTACAACTTACCTAATAAAACAAATAAAAATTATAACAGGATTAATATCAGTCCCTCAGTATCAACAGTGTAATATCAGTATTGTATTTGTTAATGAGGCTGGTAGTAGTGAACCATTTATGCTATCAATTGGTAAGTATGTGTTTACAATTTACATAATCAAGTATTACATTAACAGATAAATATCCTCTTTCTTCTACAAACATTAATG